TTCTTTTTTAATAACATTACCAGAATTTGCCATCTGTGCCACTGTGGCCAAAGGCCTCCGGTGGCCAAGACCATCAGCAAGTCAGAGATGTGCAAATGAAGATACTATATGCAAACTTTCTCTTTGACTTAAGCTTATTTCTAATGATTCTTTTTTCCTGACTTTAAAATTGAACTCACTGTAGAAAATTGGGTGGGCTGTAAAGAAGAAAGTTAAAACATCTCTTAATCACACTGTATTGAGAAAACAATGTTAAGCCGGTATTTTTTCCCCTCTTTTGTTTCGAGGATGTGCATCATACATACATTTACATGGTTTTGATCCTGAATTTAATATTAAATTGTGATCATTTTCTCATTAAATAACAACTATAGAGTTTTACATTGTACATATAGACATAATTTACTTAAACATTCACCATCCTATTTCTATGGAATTAAATTTCCTCACATTTGATATTACAAATAACATGTATTGAATGTTCCAGCATCTGAATATTTGCTTACCTCCTTGATTATTTCATAATGAAAAAAATCAACAGACTTAAAAACATAAAGTTGTTGTGCATGTAAAATCCTAAATAAAATTAAAGACAAACCATAAGAAAAATATTTGCCGCTAATATATTTACATTCTTCACACTCCGTGCTCTGGTTTCCTTTCACTCAGCGTAATTTTCTCTCACATTCTCGTGACCAGGCTTTCAGTCTAATTTCTTGACCATTGTACTGGTATCTCATTTGGTTTAGCTTACCTTCTTCCAGTTTGATATTTAATTCTTTGCTCACATGCTTAATACCACGTGACAGTATCTATCCTGCACTGGGACTACCCACGGACTGTCTGAACGTTGTCATTACATCCGCCTTGAAAGTCCCTGAGTAACCTGTGTACATCTCTCTTGAAAACAACTTAAAGGGGTGCCTGGGTGGCTCAGTTGGTTGAGCATCTGAATTTGGCTCAGGTCATGATCTCACGGCTCGTGAGTTCGAGCCCCACATCGGGCTCTGTGCTGACAGCTCGGAGCCTGGAGCCTGCCTCCGATTCTGTGTCTCCCTCTCTCTCTCTGCCCCTAACCCCCTCGCATTCTGTCTCTGTCTCTCTCAAGAATAAATAAACATTAAAAAAAATTAAAAAAAAGAAAACAACTTAAAAACAAGTAAATAAATTCAAACTGCTGTGCACTATGTCAAGCACTAAAGGGGACATTTTAAAATATGACATAGCCCCTGCCATTGAAACATTTCCAGTCGGCTTGGAGACTCAACATGCCCACATGATAAGTAAACCTGGTGGACACAAGAGATATTGAATACAATTACCAGAAATTTCTATGTAGTAAACCATACCCACCTTCCTTTGTTTTCTACCATTTCTTCAGTTTCATTGGCCTACACCTTTAACACACCTGAATCTCAACTCCTCGTGACCCTGCACATGGGGTGATTTCAGTCACTGTGCTGTGGTTGTATTTTTAAAGTTTTATCCAAACGTTCACCATGATGGCAAGAATTCTGTTTTGTTCATTATTGTATCCCTACCCCTCAGAACAGGGCCTGGCAGGCGATATGTGTTCAGTTGGCATTTATTGGACATATGAACAGAAAGTATGCATCTTTTTTCTTCAAGCAGAGATTATCGGCAAACATATATTAGGTTGACAATAAGTATGGTCGGGCCAAAGGAGAGGTTGGGGTGGGCAAGAGTTCTAGCTTAAATGTCAGATCAATGGGAGTTCAAATCCTGGGTCTGCAATTTACCAGCTTTGTAACCTTGGGCAAGTTAATTAATTTTTTCCACACTTCCTTAGCTGAAAAGCGCGGATTAACAGAACCTACTCTGTGGGTGGTTAATAAGGATGAAGTGGGGTCATTTATGTAAAGCATGGCACAGTACCTGGCACATAGGAAGTGTTTGGTAAGTGCCAGCTATGATTATTTACAAATGTTTTCCCTTCCTTTTGATCCTTAATGTCGTCACACTGCAACCTGTTCTCAGGGACATGGAAGTACAAACTGATTCATGATGAGGAGTAATACATCATAAACTTTGGAGTCAGGCCTGGCTGTGTAAGTCACTTAACTTCCCTGCACTTAAGTTGGTCAGCTGGAGACATACAGCTTAAGCCATGCAGAGGGCCACTGTGAGAATGAAATGAAATAATGTACACAGAGTGCCTGTCATGTGCCCAGTAAGGGCTCTTCCCCCTTTTTTGTCTTGGCTCAGTTAGAGCATCCCTCTGTGATTTTGTACCAAGCGTGTATATGTCTCTCCAGTGTAGTGCTTGTCAATTTATTTTTGACCTAACACACAGAATATACTACATTTTTACATCACAGCCATATCACATGCATATGTGATTGAAAAAAAACTTTTTCTCACCAAATAATACTATGTATGACCCCTATATTGGGTGGCCTAGGCTGCCACATAGACTGAGTGGCTCAAACAACAAAAATGTAGTTTCTCACAGCCTGGAAGTCCAAGATCAAGGTGTTGGCAAGCTTGATTCCCTCTCTCCTTGGCCTGCAGGTGGCCATCTTTGCCCTTTGTCCCTCACATGGGACATCCGCTCTTCTGTGCATGTCTTAATCTCCTCTTGTAAGGACACTGGTCATATTGGATTAGAGCCCTCCCTGAGACCTCATTTTACCTTAATTGCCTCTTTAAAGGCCCTGTCTCTAAACACAGTTACATTCTGAGGTGTTGCGGGTTAGAACTTCAACACATGAAATGGCAAGGGGGAAATAATTCAGTCCCTAACAGTGCCCTCGATATTTTTCTTTTATTTTATCAAAGAAATGCTAGGCACAACCAAACTGAGTAGGTTTTTGCAGCCCATTACGCTGATTACCAGACCGCAGGTTGAAAAAGGCCCTGCTCTAGTGGGTTGTGTGGGTTTAGTAGGTTAGTGTGAAATTGGCACCAGCATTAGGACTTGCATTTGACTGATTGCAGAGACAGCTTCAGAAGCTCAAAACAGAGAGTGAGATCAGAGGGCACAGCCTTCCACAAATACATAACAGTTACCTGAGCTTAGGGCTTGGCAAATCTCTGTAAATAGCCAAATGGTAAGTAGTTTGGGCCTTGTGGGCCATATAGTCTTTGTCAGACACCTCTGTTGTATCATGACAGCAGCCAGACACAATAGGTACACTAGTGGGTATGGCTGTGTTCCAATACAACTCCATTTATAAGCACTGAAATTTGAATTTCTTATAATTTTCACATGTCATGAAATATTCTTTTCATTTTTTCCCTAAGAACTTAAAAATGTAAAAACCATTCTTAGTTCATGGGTTGTGTAAAAGTGGGCAGCGGGCCAGATGTGGCCCACAGGATATAGTTTGCCTATCCCTCCCTGGCTGATAAAGCCAAGTCATTTAGCTAAGAGGCTCTCAAGGAATTTGGCCTGGATGGTTTTCTTCAGTCCATGTAAGTGCTGAAAAATCTCTGTGGTTACTCATGATAAAAGATATATATCTAAAAAGCAAGGGTTTTGTTTGTTTGTTTGTCTGGTTTTTTTTAACCAGAGGGATCTCTATCTGGGGATGTGGAAACATTCTTAAAGTGCCCACAAAGTCATTGTCAGGCAGCAAAATTAGGAATAGAATAAGCACAGAAAGTCTGCACAAAAACAACAGAGCTTGAATCTAAAAAGGAGTCTCCTTTGTGAAGTTGCTATTGAGGGAAATGTAGTGGCCAGAGAAAAGCCCAGGTTTCTTCAAGATGGTTGGAGGATAACAGCTCCAGGGCCCTGGTCCCCATGCTTTCCTCTCAGGGTGAGAGTGAGTGAGGTTTCCTTCGTTCATAGGAGCCCCACATCCTCCAGAGTCTTCTCATGCGGTTTCTTTCCCCACTCAACATGTAGGCCATGGTGGGTGTGGCCATCTTTCACTTCCTGTGGGACTGCCTACAGCCTCAGGATGCCATGTAAGTGCCCAAATAAATCTCCCTACCGGAGGATCCGAGAGAACAAAGCTGTCTGAGAAAGCCAAAAGTCTGACCATATGGTTTTTTTGCTCCAAGGGATTTATTTCAGTGGTAGCTAGAGCAGTTGTACAGAGCATGTGTCGAATGATGATGAGCTCTCCTCTCACCAGGCACTGACCAGAAGGGGGAGAGGGCCTAGCAGAAGATGGGGGGTGAGCTGCCCCCAGGACTAGGCGACAGAATTCTCTCTCCAACCGTATGATGCTGCTGCTCTGAGGTAGGTCAAGACTCTACCTGATGACCATGGACATTGCACAGTGGGAATCTGAAGAGCCATAGAAATTGGCAAAGACTGGAGTGGTGTCCGGGGAGTTATTTTCAGTATTTTAGATGGTCAGGGGGAAATTATACATTTATCCACAACCAGGTTGCGAAGGCAGACTCAACTGCTGTGGCTTCCATTGGCAGGAATGAGCTAATCTCACGTGGTGACTCTGGAAGGGAAATACTGAGTGCCACAGAAAGAAAACACCTTTATCCCCAAGACTTTCTCGTTTAGGGATTCTTCAGATGGTAAACCAGAACCAGGACCCAGAAAATTGTTTTTTTAATTGACATGAAAAAATTGGTCTTAATATCTAAATTTTTGCTTTAAGAAATCAGATAAAATGATTTGTATTATTTTATTTTGGAAACTGTTTGCTTCATTCAATCCCGAGATACGACAATACAAGAGCTTTGGCATGAGAGTCATCTTAAGTGAATAAAAAACACAATTTAATGAAATGGCATTTTTGAAGCTTTTAGCAGAGCAAATTTTTAAATTATCTTGCTTAAATTAGATTGCTGTGCTGTCTTCTTTCAGTACTTATAAGAGCCCTGTTTTGTTTCTGGTTTCACTGCATTAACCACCAAGATTTTTTTTTTAATTGATGTATAACATTCACACAGAAAAGTACAGAAATTAAGTGCACCGATAACTGACTTTTCATGAAGCGAACATTCCTGTGCAAACAGCAGCCAGATGGAGAAAGAATGTCCCCCAAATACCTAAAGCCCCTTACACCCCTTCCCAGTCCCTAACCACACCCACTCCAAACGTAACTGATAGCATTATTTCTAACAACATTTCAACATTATTTCTAACAACATTTCAAACAAATTTTGTTTGATTCTGTTTATTTTGTTATTTTACTTTGTGTAAATAAAATTGTGCTATGTAATCTTGTGTCCCCCTTAACATTGTATTTGGAAGATTTCTCCATGTTGTTATGAGTCTGTTCATTCTCATTGCTGCGTAATATTGTATAACTATACCAAAATTTATTTAACCCTTCTTCTATTATACATGGGCTTTTATGTTGTTTCCAATGCAGGGCTATTACAAAGAATACTGCTAAGAACACTCTTCTACATGTCAATGGGTGAGCATGTGTAACATTTGTGTAGGATAGATTCCTTGATGGAGAGACCTTGAGTTATAGGATATGAGTGTGTTCAGCTTTCAGATACTGCAAGTTTGCCAGTGTCTTTATCAATATACACTCTCATCAGTATGTATGACAGTTCCATTTATTCCATATCCTCACAAATGTTTTTGTTGTTTTAGACAATGCATTGTGATTTTACTCTTCTTTGATGATCAGAGCAGCTTTTAATCTGTTTAATGGCCATTGGGATGTCCTTTTTTGTGAAATTTCTTCTCAAGTATTTGCCTGTTTCTTTATTAGGTTGTCTACCTTTTCCTTATGGATTTACAGGAGTTCTTTGCTGGATTTAACATCGCAGTTAACTTCCACTGTGTGCATGCCTTTTGATTCTGATGTCATTTGACAAAGTCATACTTAATTTTAATATAGTCCAAATTATCATATTTTTCCTTTACGGTTAGCATTTTCTTGTGTTCTGTTCTTTAAAAATCTTTACTTCTCGCAAAGTGTGAAGCTATCCTGTTTTCTTCTTAAAGTATTATTTTACCTTTCACATTTGGTTCTACCATCCATGTGGAGTTCATTTTTGCATGGTATAAAGTAGAGGTTAAGAATAATTCTTTTCAGGGGCACCTGGGCGGCTCAGTCAGTTAAGTGCCTGACTCTTAATTTCGGCACAGGTCTTGATCTCACAGTTTCATGAGTTTGAGCCCCACAGCAGGCACTGCACTGCCAGCAGCTTGAGATTCTACCCCTCTCTCTCTGCCTTCCGCCACCCTCTCTATCTCAAAGTAAATAAAACTTTTTAAAAAACAGAATTTTTTTCAGAACATCTAGATGGCACAGTCAGTTGAGCATCCAACTCGTGATTTCAGCGCAGGTCATGATCCCAGAGTCACAGGATCACACCCCACATCAGGCTCCACACGCGGCGCTGGAGCAAACAACAAACATTATTGTTTCAGAAGTTCCGGAGGCTAGAAGTTAAAAATCAAGGGGTGGCTAGGGCCGTGCTCCCTCTGAAGGCTCTAGCGAAGAATCCGTCTTAGCTCCTTGGCACTCCTTGGCTTGCAGCTGCATTGATCTGATCTCTGCCTCCATTCCCACATGGCCCTGTTCCCCTCATGTCACCCTGTGTCTAAATTTCCTTCTTATAAGGACACCGGTCATATTGGATTTAGGACCCACCCTAATCCACTCTGACCTCATTTCAATGAATTATATCTACAGAGATCCTATTTCCAAGGAAGGTCACCTTTTGAAGTACTGAGGGGGTTAGGACTTCATTGTATCTTTCTGAGGCACAACCCACAATACCCAGTGAACCCAACACCACTTACTGAACTTCAGCATCATCTTTGTCATAATTTGGATGACTCTTTGTATAGGTCTATTTTGGGACCTTCTTTTTTCTTCTATTGGCCTATTTATCCTAAACAAATACCACACTGTCTTAATTACTATTATTTTATAATGAATTTTGAAACTGATAGAGTAAGTTTTCCAGCCTTGTTGTTCTTCTTCAACATTATCTTGGCTTGTGGCTCTTTGCATTTCCATATATGTTTTTGAATCAACTTGTCAATTTCCACCTGGGGAAAAAAAACCTATCTTTTTTTTTTTTTTTAATTGAAATGCATTGAAGATTCAGTCT